ATTTCTTCCTTAATAAATGGTAATATATATACCAAAGAACTATTTTTAAATAAGTTTATTTGTGATTAATTATCAGCAAGTATTTGGTTTGTATACCTATTTGATAACCCTGTTTACTTAGGGTCACATAAAATTTCTCAGCCAAGAAGTTTTGAGTAGAAATAACTAAGAAGCTCAGCTTAGTATCTGTGCCATTTCTTTTTTTATTTTATTTTCTTCCAGAGCAACTTTATCATTAATACCTAGGAATACATCTGCTAGATAAGGAATAAATGCTTGTGAAATTTTGGTAAGTATTGCCCAATCCCTGTCTCAACGATATCCTGCTGTTTATTACTCTCCATGGTGAAATAAGAGAATGATTCTATGTTTATGGTCAGAATCTTTCTTGCTGGATAGAGTAGCAAATGGCATTATCCCCTTTATTTCAGAACATATTGAAAACAGAGTCATGCCTTTACAGATACTCATGTGGTCCAATGCAGCAAAGAGCAAGAGAGATTTATAATTGGTTCTTACTTACCCCTAATTAGTCCAGGAAGGAAGTATTACACAGGAAGGAGTTAACCTCTTAGGGAAACGGGGTCACTTCTGTGAGGGTCGCTAACTGAGCTATTACTTCCACTTAATTCAGTGGATTGGAAACCTTTGGTTCCCTCTGAATCCTGCTAGACATCAGAGTGAGTAGTGAACCTTTCTGCTTGCCAGCTAACCCATCCATCTCACAGTAGACTTGGATCCTCTGCCTTCTTTGTTGCTGTGTTATAAAGGTATTCCCATGGCAGCTAAGTCCACTGATGGCTTGATCCTGTGAGACAAGCACATGAACTGGCATTAGCAGTGTAGAACTCTTACTATGATTTGACACCAAACTGATTCCAAGTATGCATCCATAGACTTTTGCGAAGGCATGGACCCATCATGTATTAGAAATGTTTGGATGGTAGTGCAAGCATGTGATTCCACTACTGAGGAGACTGAGATAGGGTGACCCATGGAGAGGTTATGTAGCCAGACCTTGCCAAGCAAAACCAACCAATCAATCAGACAAACAAACTAACGATGACTTCTATTGGAGATAGGTTGAAGAGCACTTATCTGTGGCCTTTGTTTCTACCCTGTGCCAATAGTTTTGCCTGTAGTGTATTTATAGTGCTCTTAACATTTGGTTCAATCTTCTTTGCTGTTGTTTATTTTTGTCATTGTCATAAAACTCCCTGACAAAATACAACTAAATGGAGAAATGATTTATTTCAGCTCCCATTTCTAGGTTACACTCCATCATTGTAGGGAAGTCAAAGAATTTCAAACAGCTAGTCATATCACATCTATAGTCATGAGTAGAGAGAAATGAAGGCATGCACTATCACTTGCTTGTGTTAAGCTCAAACGATCCACTTTTATAAATGTCAAGATCTCTTAACTAAGGAATAGTGCTACCTGTAGCAGGCAGTATCTTTCCACATCAGTTAATCTAAGACATTAGCTCTCATAGGCCACTCCAATGTAGACAAATCTCACTGAGCATGATGGGGACAATCATAGAGACAGCTGACCTGAGCTAGTGGGAGCTCACAGACAAGAGCTGGGGAACCCTGCTCTTGACCCCCCTTGTTCATGTGATCCCGCCTCTCTCTTCACCTGAATTCCAGGAGCTCAGCATGGTCCTTGGCTGTGGATTCCTGCATATGCTTTAGTTAGTTACTGGATGTAGGTTTTATGATGACAATTAGGATAGTCACTGACCTGATTAAAGGGGAAGGCACCCTCTCCATTATTGCTAGGAGTTTTAGCTGGAGTCATCCTTGTGGATTTCTGGGAAGTTTTCTAACACTAGGTTTCTCTCTATCTCTCTAACTCCATATTGGCTCTCTCTATCAAAATGTGTCTTTTATTGCTCTCCTTCTCTATCTCTTTCCCAACTCAGCCATTTCAAGCCCTCATGTTCCCATTCTCCATCTCTTCCCTTCTGTCCACCCTTCCCAGTTTACCCAGGAGATCTTAACTATTTTTCCTTCCTGGGACCCTTCATGTGTTCCCCTTAGGGTCCCCCTTTTTACCTACCTTCCCTGGGGCTGTGAACTGTAGTTTGGTTATCCTTCACTTTACTTTTAGATGTAAATCCACTTATGAGTGAGTGCATACCAAGTTTGTCTTTCTGGGTCTGGGTTACCTCACTCAGGATAGTTTTTTTCTAGTTCCATCCATTTGCCTGCAAATTTAAACCTCTATTTGTACTGTGGAAGTAGCTAGACTAGCAGAGAGTGGGTGGGAAACTAATTTAACAGGCTACCAGCAGGACCAGCATTGTTTGTTTATCCATAGTGGGGGCCTAAGCTGGTTCCCAGACCACTGAATTTATATTGTATATGGGTGACTGAGATTTTTGCAGACACTGAAGGCTCTAAGCAAACTTTGCCTTGAGGATTTGAACTTCCTTGATCAGCCCCTTAATCCTATTGCTTTTTCTGTGACTATATGCAGCTATGCACTATTCTCCAAAGAGATCCTAGAGACCCAACCTGCTGCTTCTTTCAGCTAATGTTTATTATTCTTAATTCTCATTATTTGGACTCCATGGAAGAGCTGGGGGTCTTTGTGACAAAAGTCCTGAAATTTACATATCCTGGAGGAAAAAAACCTCACCTCCATCCAATTTCCTTCCTTCACTGCCTTTCATTGTTGCCCTTGCCTTGGGGAGTGCTGCCTCGTAATTCTTTTAAGACAAGGAATCCGGCTTGTGAGGCTGACCCTGATTGCTTGACTCAAGACATCATAGTTTTAAATGTCCCCTTTCTAACTACAACCTATTTTTAAATTTAGTGGGTTGTCTGATTTTCTTGATTTGTAAAATCTATTTTTATATTATTTATTAATCTTATGTCAGTATTTTCATCTTAGGTATTGTCCTTTCATTTTCTGAAGATGAGCCCTGGACAATTTATGGTAGAGTGTTAAGTTTCTCTTATACAATAGTTTTTGTTTATTCCTTAAGATTTTCATACTCTGGGATCAAAACCAGTTCCTCCACATTTACTTTAAAGCTATTTTTCCATTCCACATGATCTTTATAGGGATTTGTATTTGCAAAGCTAGTGGTGGGGATTTTATTTCTAAAAAGGGCTCATGTCTATTCTATGCTTGTTGCTAACCTGTTTCTAGTAGATAATGATAACTGGAAAAAATTGTTGAGTATATAAAGCCACACTTTTTTTGAGAAGTCATAATTTTGTTTTTCTTTCTGTCTTGTGTCTTTTCATGCTTTTCTTACCTTATTAGACATCTAGAGATTAAAACTCAGTCTTGAGTTGTCATCCTTTTCTTGTCTCTGTCTTTTGCTGGTGTGTGTGTGTGTGCATGTGGGTGTGTGTGCGTGTGTGTGTACATAAACATAGCTCAGGCTGTCCTGAAACTTGCTATGTAGATCAGGCCAACCTTGAATTCACATGACTCACCTGCTTCTGCCTCCAGAATGCTGGAGGTAAGGATATGAACCCCACACCAGGTTTGTCCTGACCTTTAGGGAATATTCTCAGCATTGAGAAAGGCATCTGCTGAAACTTCTAGGTGTTAAACAGGTTTCTCTTTGTCTGAGGGAATTTAGAATTTATTACAGGATGAATACACAGATCTATGACTGACTCCATCATCCCCATCTCTTTGTCTGTGTGACCCACTCCATCATCCCCACCTCTTTATCTCTGTGACCCACTCACTCCATCATCCCCATCTCTTTATCTGTGTGACTCACTCCATCATCCCCATCTCTGTATCTGTGTGCCCACTCCATCATCCCCATCTCTGTATCTGTGTGACTCACTCCATCATCCCCATCTCTGTATCTGTGTGACTCACTCCATCATCCCCATCTCTGTATCTGTGTGACTCACTCCATCATCCCCATCTCTGTATCTGTGTGACTCACTCCATCATCCCCATCTCTGTATCTGTGTGACTCACTCCATCATCCCCATCTCTGTATCTGTGTGACTCACTCCATCATTCCCATCTCTGTATCTGTGTGACTCACTCCATCATCCCCATCTCTTTATCTCTGTGACCCACTCCATCATCCCCACCTCTTTATCTCTGTGACCCACTCACTCCATCATCCCCATCTTTTTATCTGTGTGACCCACTCACTCTATCATTCCCATCTCTTTATCTGTGTGCCCACTCCATCATCCCCACCTCTTTATCTCTGTGACCCACTCACTCCGTCATCCCCATCTCTTTATCTGTGTGACTCACTCCATCATCCCCATCTCTGTATCTGTGTGACTCACTCCATCATCCCCATCTCTGTAACTGTGTGACTCACTCCATCATCCCCATCTCTTTATCTCTGTGACCCAGTCCATCATCCCCATCTCTTTATCTCTGTGACCCACTCACTCCATCAGCCCCATCTGTTTATCTCTGTGACCCACACACACCATCATTCCCTTCTCTTTATCTGTGTGATGTTCAGGGGAGTCCTGCTCTCAAAAGGAATCCAAAGGGCTGTCTCCACTCATGGGATTCAATAAACACTTCTTATGATTACCAAAATATAAACATCACAGAAACTCAGTAAAATAATAGAAAAGTAAATATAAAGCTGCAAAAATTATTCTCAAACCATCTCCTGACAAAAACTATAAACATCCTGATGTTTTCCTTCTTCTGTTTCTCTAGGAATATAAATAATTCATATGTAAATATAGACATTATCTATTGCACCCACATATTAGTATGATATATATTTATATATGTATATATACATATATATTACAGTTATCATATGGCATATATAAGGTTACATATGTGAAGATATATTGCAAATATCTGTTCTCATTGTACTTTATTTTAGTGACAGCATAGCTCTCTTGTTTAAACCCAGGAATATGCAATGCTTAATTGAATCTTCTAATGAGTTAACTTCTACTTTTAGATCCCCCCCAACATTACACTGCTCTTATCTAAGCCATAAATACAACTTTGTCATGACATATTTTTTTTAAAATATGGAATGGCTCACAAATTTGCATGTTATCCTTGCACAGGGGCCATGCTAATTGTCTTAATTAGGGTTTCTATTGCTGTGAAAAATACCATGACCATAGCAACTCTTATGGAGAAAAACATTTAATTGAGTGGCTAACAGTTCAGAGGTTTAGTCCATTATTATCATGGTAGGGCATGGCGGTGTATAGACATACATGGTGCTGGAGAAGGAGTTCCATACCTTACTAGGCAGCAGGAAGTGAACTGTCACTGGATGTAGCTTGAGCATAGAAGACCTCAAAGCCCCCCCCCCCCCCGAGTGCAAGCTTCCTCCCCAAACCCACTCCTCCTAATAGTTCCACTCCCTTTGGGGGCATTTTCTTTCAACCCACCACACTAATCTTTGTGTTGTTCTAATTTTAGTATTTTACGGTGTGTGTTACTGCAGAAGTGGGCATGGCATTTTTCTTTTATCCCTCCCCCCCTTTGTGAGACAGGATCTCTGTCTTCCAAGTGCTGACAGTAAAGGCATGCACTACTTCACCTGCTTTTTATATACTTCTTGAAATAATTTGTCCATGTATTGTTGTAAAGGCTTATAGCTGTGTTCACATGAAATTTCAGTGGCTTAGTTCTATTATTGAAGGACACTGTGTTGATAAATTGAACTAGAAAGCTGCCATCTTTGTAAATATTCTAAATCCTTTTGTGCAAATTTGCAATGATCATTTTATAGTCTTGCAGAGTATACTTTTAAACTTGTACTGGCTGGTCTTTCTTGTGGAAGATAGTTTTAGAGTTTATAAGGAAACACAACGTTTGTTGATCTTCCAAATCAACTCTGGGGCTGGAGAGATGGCTCAGTGGCGAAGAGTATATACTGCTCTTCCAGAAGACCCCAGTTTATCTCTCAACATCTATGCTGGACAGTTCATAACTTCCTGTAATGACAATCAAGTTTCCAGTACATTTGAAAAAACATTTTTGAATCATAGAACTTGATAAATAACACTTTTCTAGGAATTCTCAAATTTAATCTAAGTCTTAATTTTTTTCATACGAAATAAAGCATTTAACTGGGGACCAGCTTACAGTTTCATAATACTAATCCAGTTATCATTATGGTGGGAAGTGTTGCCATAGGCATGGTGCTAGGACAGTAGTTGAGATCCTGATCAGTAGACTGGGGGAGCAACACTGGGCCTGACTTTTGAAACTCAAAGTCTACCCCCTGTGACACACTTCCTCCAACAAGGCCACAACTGTCCCGACAGGGCCATATTTCCAAGTCCTTCTAATACTTTCTCTTTTTAAAATAGTTTTATTATTTAAAACAATTTTAAAATTTAAACATATTTTGATTACATTCTTCCCCTCCCCCAAGTCCTTCCAGATCCCCCCTTCTCCCTATCCATCCAACTAAGTTCTTTCTCAAAAAATGAATCAAAACCCCAAAACAAAACAACCCCCTAACTAGAAAACAAAATATATTAACATTGAAAAACAAAAACAAACAAGCAAAAACCCCATAACTAAACAAAACACGCAAAAAACTGTGGAGACCAACAGGTCAACTACTCCTGGACATGAGACCTACCCCGGAGTGGCCAAGACTATAGTTGCTCACCTCAAAGGTGATAGCAAAGCCCCATTGCTGAAGGCAATGCCTATTTAACTCATTGAACTGTCGCTCTATATCCAGTGTCTTTGGCGTGGGAAGGCAGAGATCTGCACACTAACCACAAATCTGTTATTGACAATGGAGTCCTGGCTGCAGGGTACGCTGAGGTAATGGTGGCATAAAGCTTGTGGGAGTAACCAACCAATAACAGATCTGACTTCAGGTTCAAAGTGATTGCTAAATTTCTTCACATGTTCCTTTCAAAAAATACGGCCTGAGTACTGGAGGCATGGCTCAGCAGGAAGAGTGCCTATAGCTATTGCTAAAGACCTGGGCTCGCTTCTAGTGTTACAAGTTTCCCAGATGTGCTTTTCTAATGGTATTTATTGTTTTTCCCCAGTCAGAAGAAATACATTGAAGTATCTATGATAGTAGCTATGAATTTTCCCATGATGTTTAACAAATATCAATGTACTTACTTTAAGATATTTTAGTAATTTATGCACAATTTACATTTTTTTCATTTTCTTGGCAACTTGACCAAGACTGTGTCCTGTTCACTGAAACAGCTCACATGCAATGCCCATAACGCCCTTTGTATTAGGCAGAATTCTAAAACATGCCCACCCCAAGATTCCTCTCCACTCCCTGTATACACCCCACATATACCTTGGGACAGTAAATTCACTAGATTTAACCCAAGACTGTGTATTGTCAGAAGTGACCTCAAGAAAGGAAGAGGATCTGCACTGGCCATGCATATGGCTTGAGACTATTCAAAGGGTAGAGTTCCCCAGCTGCAATAAAATGGAAAGTCAGAGAACAATGGATCAGGAGACAGCCGCTCTAAAGGGGAGCTCTGTTCAGACCAAGTGACCCCAGAGCTAACCTGAGAGCGGCCGAAGAGTGGAAATGGTCCTTGGTTAGCAGATAGCAAGAAAAGAGACAACTCAGGTCTCTAGCAGAAAGAAAGAAATTATGTCAACAATCCAGTGCTGCTCAAACCAATCTGTCCCCAGTCATGCCTCCATGTGAGGATGCCACCCACCATCATTGCTCTATCACCCAGATGCCACCATATGGGGACCTGAGCACAGAGACAGGTGTAGAATGCCAGACTCCACTTAAGCCCATTGTGAGATAATAAAATGTTGTTTGTAAGCCTGACTTCCTGATAATTTTTTATGCTTTTGTTCTAACATCTTGCTATGATTATAGTTGTGTCAATCTACATTTGTTAATTTATTTCTATCACTTTATTCTCAGCCTTATTATATTGCCACATTTTGAGTATTGTTTGATAAGTTTAATAACAGGAATTACTGAATTTTAAAAATTGAAAATTTCCGATGTAACTTAGATGTTGTCCAAATACTTTTATTATAGTCACTAATGCTTTTTACCTCAAATCTACCATCCCCTTTCCTATACTCTCCTCTCCTCGCCTTTAGAAAGTGGGTTTCATGTTTCCTTTTTGAAGTTGACTAGTTCCCTTTTATCAGCTTGGTTGTTACACACACTATTCTGCTAGTGGTTGCCTTGACATGCTACCATGCATATTTCGTAGATCAATGAGAATTGCCATGAATTAGCACTGCACATTTTCTATGAAACCAAAAGCATTTTACCACACTGTCTAAATTTAGTAAACATGCAGCATGAGTTTCTTAGTGACCTTTGCCTTCTACTTGTCTCCTCTGACAAAAGAGGGGCTCGCCCTCCTATCTCTCTATCTGGTGTCCTTTTAGGAAACAGGGCTACACTCCAGATCCTGTGCCTTGTTTGGACATTGGGAGTTAGCTCCTTAGGATTAGTGTGAGGAGTAATTAAGAATATGACCATTATATATGCACATATATGTTTACATATAGGTGTAGTGGGATACTCACTTTGTCTCCTTCTGTGGCACTGACTACGCCCATTGAGGGGTGGAGCCAGGGGCAGAAGTGACTGTGGAACTAGGTCCCAGTCTCTACATGCTGACTCTCCCCTACTAATTCCTCTTTCCTCCTTGTCTCCTAGTCCCTCCTATCTTCCTTTCCTATTGGCCAACAGTGCTTTATTCATTAACCAATAAGAGAAACGTATTTACAGAATGACATCTCCCATCATATAAGCACATTAGTTAAATGCCTAGTGTGCAACAACATCATTGTTTTTAATTCATAAATTATTTTTATCAATTTATTTATTATTTTTAAAAAATTTTTCTTATACCACAATTTTCTTTGCTATAAAGCTCTTTTCTCAAGGATTTGTGCATATGCATATGTATAGTGTATCCTAGTTAGCTTTAATTATGTACTTGACACAGCCTTGAGTCATCTAAAAACTTCAGTTGAGGTATTAGGTAGAGCAGTAGATGGACCTGAGGGCAGGTCTGGAGCAGAGTGTGTGTTCTAGTTTTCTTTATGTTGTTGTGATAAAGAAAATGGTTTATTAAATCCTACAGCTTAGAGTCCATCATTGAGGACAGTCCAGGCAGGAACCCAGGAAGGGAACCCAGAGGCAAGAATTGAAGCAGAGGCCTTGGGGGAAATACTGTTTACAGGCATGTTCCCTGTGCCTGCTTTGCTTGCTTTCATTAATAATTAATAATTAATCACTAACCATTAATCAAGAAAATGCCCCCACACTCTTGAATACAGGCCAATATGAAGGAGGTGTTTCCCATTTGAGGTTCCCTTTCCCCAAATGACTCTGGCATATGCCAAATTGACAAAAAACAAACCAACTAACTAGCATAGGTGTATTGTCTTTGTTACTAATTGATTGAGGAGGTCCCAGCCAACTGTGGGTAGCACCATCCCTAGGAAAGGTGGTCCTGAACTGTATAAGAAGGGCAACTGAGCAGGAGCTTCAAGTCCTGTCCTGACTTCCCTCAGTGATGGGCTGGGACCCAGAAGTGTAAACTATGTAAACCTTTTCCTAGGTAGCTTTGGATGAGCATGTTTTGTCACACCAAAGGAAAAACATGTGGTGTGTGTGTGTGTGTGAGAGAGAGAGAGAGAGAGAGAGAGAATATGTCTCTCCACACCATATTCCGTTTGTCTCACACAATTGCATGCACATTCTGCAGAGGGTCTGAGGTGAAGGCCCTCAGTCCTGTGCAAGTGGTCCCTAGGGAACCTCATTGTAAGAATACAATGCTCTTAAACATAACACACCCTGGAATGAATAAGTGCCAATAAACAATAACCTTTAAGAAAATATTGTCGCTGCTCACATCCAAGAAGGACAGGACAACTTCGGTAAGTTTATATAAATCAAATACCACCAGTTTTTAAACTATGTATTTGGACTTCAGTAAGCACCAAATGGAGAGCACAACTCCAAATAGGCTTTCAAAGGGTTTATGGGACTTGAGCAGCTTTTCTAAATTTGACCATGGATGCTTATACCTTTTAATTTAGTGGATTTGAAATGCTTGGCTTCAAGCAGCATGTTGTAAGAAGGTTATTTCTGGACTTTCTCTGTGTGTAAAGTATAAAATTAGCATCCC